CGATGCTTCGGGCTCGGGCTCATACTCAGCCTCTGACGATCCTTAGGCTGCCGGCGCTGGGTGCAATCCTGACTGCGCCTGACTAACCTCCGTACTTGATAACTCTCCGTCTATAGGAGGTATGGCGGTTGGGTCCCAATCTCCGACTAAATCAAAAGGAACGTCAAAACCTCTAACGGGCCCGAACTCAGCCCCGTCTCCATCCAAAAAGAACCAAGCAGTGTTTCTGCTCTTCAAAAAGAGGTAAACCTACGTCTACGAAAACAGTAGAAGTGTGCTTAATCCAAGTAAAATTATTGTCCATCGGGAACTCTGCAACCTCAAGCTCTGCATGCATAGGTACTCCAAAACGTTCTGGTGGTTGAGGCGGATTATTCATGGCTCGGGTCGGGGTTCTGAAATGTTTGGTTGAAAACAACCGTGAGACACTTCTCAGTAAGTACACCCCTAAACCCAACCTAGGCTATCACGTACCTCCAAATAATCACGCAATCACACACATTCACGTACCAATATCACAAAATAGGCACATCATTTAAGACTGTCAGGCTCAATAATGCACACATTCGCACTCAATCACGATCATGTCGTATGCAACACGCGTATGTGCCAATTCTCATCCCACTCTTCCTTCCATTCTCATTTTCCACTTTCACAATCCTCGCCAGTGACCCGCGTTGAAGTACACGCCTCAGGTACACTGCGACCATTCATCACCACACTTTCGGCCCGCGTACCCGTACACGCCTCAGGCCTCTCGATCGCGCCCCGAGCATCACACGCCTCGGTCCGATCCCACATTCACACTTTCCTCAACCCGCGCCAAATGCGACAGGCCTACATGATCGAAACCCAACTCAGCCTACGCCAAATGCGACAGGCCTACATGATTGGAACCCAACTCAGCCCACGCCAAATGCGATAGGCCTACATGATTGGAACCCAACTCAGCCCACGCCAAATGCGACAGGCCTACATGATTGGAACCCGAGCTTATGATGCCTCGGTCCAATCCCGGTCTCACCTGAGTTGATCGTGCCTCGGACCAATTCTCATACATGCTTTTTCAAGCCTCAGCTTGTGCCAAATACAACAGATCTACGTGATTGCTGCCCGAGTTTATGATACTCGGCCCGATCCCATTCTCATACTTTCACACCTTCACATGAATTCCCGTGCACACATTTGCACCCACAATCATGCATTCACACCTCAAACGCGCATTCACGCACAATTTCTCATTTTTCTGAACCCAAACACGTTCAAAATCAATTTCAGCCCTTCACGGGACTTTCATAAAATTCAAAGACAGACCTAACGGTACCATCCATGCGCCAAACAACCACTCACAGCATATCACACCACACATCACAGCCAGCAAACAGTGAATTCCACACCTTAAGTCACAAAATTACACTCCCGGCTCTTCACGACATTTTCTCGTAATTAATTGCCGGTTCTAAAAATCCAACTTGCGTTCCGAACCAATCATCATAGCCCATGAACAGTAATTCGCAGCTTGTGAACAGTGATTCGCAGCTTGAAATTCCCTCAAATCGTCCTCCAAAAATTCCAAATTAATTCCTTAAGGCCCGCCATACATTCCCGGTCTAAAGCCCCAACATTTCGCACCCGCACAAGTCCAATTTCACCTAAAATCAAATTATTCGGCGATACCCAAAATCCTAAATCGGGATTAGAGTATGACTTACCGCGTTCTAGGCTAAAACAGCTAGAACGGAAAGCGGCGGCGCTCTACGGCGAAGGCGAACAACTCACCGTGGCTTCCGGCTTGCACGGCGGCGGTCCGGCGGCGGCGTGGTCTTGCACGGCCGGAAATGGGTCACGGGGAGAGAGAGAAAAAAAGAGGGGAAAGAGAGAGAGACAGTGAGGTTGGAGGGCGGCACGGCGACGGCAAGGTGGCGGTCCGGCGGTGTGGCAAGCGGCGGCGCCGGCGATGGAGAGAAACGGCCAAGAAGAAAAAAATAAAAGGGGAAGGGCTGATCACGGCAAGAAGGGAGGAGAAGAATGGGGGAAGGAAGACCAAAATTTGACTTAAATAGTGCTCACTTGACCAAGGTGGAAATGACCATAATACCCTTTCCTCTTATTTTTAATCCGACGGTCCCGATTCGATCTTATCTTGATCCGACGGCCGAGATCGATTCTTGCACAAAAATATCCAAGGGTATACTTTTAATTTCCAAAATATCCAAGGGTAAAATTGTCCAATCGAAATTTTAGAGAAAAATTACCAAAATGCCCTTTACCCTTAAAACATACCCTCTAATAAATCCTAGGGGTATTTTGGTCACTTTCTCCGTTTCTTGTCCAAATCGAATTTTTCCGAAGGAATTGAGCGCACCAAAAATTCACACGTGTCACGTGCAACGTCGTACTAACGTTCCGGCGTGACTTCCTAATTTTCCGGTGTCCAATTTGGACAAAAATCCAATAATTAAATTCTATTAAACGCAACTCGAGCGTTTCTCGAGCTAACGGGCGACTTGCTGGGGAAATTCGCTGAATCGACTCATGACTGATACTAAATCGAGTCATGGGCAAGTCCGTTCGGTGCGTGACGACCTCGGTTGTCATTAAAATCGCGAAGATCAATCACTTGATCCGAGGGGTACGATCGTTTGGTATAATTTCGGAATCATTCGTCAAGTCGTTTCGTGGTCCAACGGAATCACCCGCGATCCACTACTAGGACAGTGGCGAACTGACCCCTAACTATCCTTGGATCGGCCAACAATGGTTCAAAATATCACTTCCGCGATTTAATGGTCGAAATTCATTCACGATCGAATTTCCTTTAGTCGCGCGAATTTAATTTTCCCTAATAGCCTTTCCCTAATGGTTAGCATTCCCAGGAATGATCAGTTCCGGGCGAGAATTTACTGCGAGCACATCTCATAAAACTCAATTATTCTATAAATTCCAATTGGTGGAATTTCGGAATGTCACAGCTTCAGTGACAGTAATTGTAACTCCATTAACAGAACATGTTCTGTCACATCTTGTCTGAATATCTCCATCGTAGGCACTCTCGTCGATGAACGCAAGCTGTTTCGGGGATGGAAATACCACATCAGCATTCCCCAACATGAAAACCATGGCGGACATAGTTGGTCTATCCGATGCATATCTTTGCACACACAAAAGACCGATTTGAATGCACCTCGATACCATTTCCCCAGAATATGTCTTGTCCATTGATTTGTCGACAATGTCCATGCATTTTCCTCCTTTCCACAGCTCCCATACCTGGAAAGAGCACATACTAAAAGCCTTGGATTTTGACAATGCAAATGTAGCGCCTGGTCAGATTGTTCATAGCATCGAATTATGTAAGAGTTTCATACTTACATGGCCAATTAAATTGCAGAAGGGGTTCATATGATAGCACCCACTATTTCTTTGGCCTGTAATGATCTCCAACAACAAAACTCCATAACTGTACATATCCGATTTTATTGAAAACCGGCCTTGCATAGCATACTCTAGTGCCATGTACCCACTATAGAAGCCAAAAACGAGAGAAGTAATCAACATACCCTTCACGGTATAAAACTTCCTCGTTGAAATTTGGGGACATAACAAAAGGTGAAGCAGCATTCAATGGTCAATAAAGAAAATGGTTGGCCTGAGTTCTTTTTCTTTGTTTTAAATTCTCATTGTTTAATCAGGTGAAGCAGAATTCAATGCTCAAGAAAAACACTTACTATGTCCCGACCACGCACTCCGTCTTTCTTTCAATTTGGTCTCCTCCACATAGCCTTGCTAACCCAAAATCCGAAATCTTGGGGTTCAATGCAACACCCAGTAAGACATTGCTAACTTTCAAATCTCTGTGGATAATCCTCAAGGTCGAATCCTGATGTAAATACATGAGTCCCCGAGCTACCCCACCTTTTTCCCCATTCCAGAAGTGATCTCTTTGTTTTATCTAGACCAAATTTGGGGATTACCACAAGTTATTATCCATAATACTAGTTGTAGAACCGAAATCTTGCCACTGGAAGAGTGGACTTGCCGAAAAGTAATAAATCCAAGCTTTTATTGGGTAAATACTCATAATTTAACAGTTTTTCGTCTTCTTGAATGCAGCAACCTAAGATTTTCACCAGATTCCTTTGTTGGAGTTTGGCAATCAATTTGACTTCGTTCTTGAACTCTTCATTTTCTTGTCCAAAATATTTCGAGAGTCTTTTAACTTTATTTCTGTTCCGTTATTTATCACATCCCGTGAAAATGATAACATCACAATTATAAATATTTAGACCTGTCAGATGAAGCCAGTCACTTTAAAGCTTTTATGAGTAGATTTTAAGATTTATCAGGTAGTTAAACTTGCTGGGACGATGTGTCTGTTTGCACTCATTACATGTTGTATGACCTAGAGAAATAAAGAAGCAACATGACTTGTGCTGTTCTCGACTTCTCCCTCGACTTTTGTTAGTCACTTCCTAAGTTTGTGATGACTGGAAGATCAGAATCGCTACAGAGACACCTCCATAGAATAGTGGATGTAACCCGATCCCAATAGCTTTCGAGAATTTCGGAATAGAAAATGGTCCTTTACAATAAAACTGGCTCGCTTCCGAGCACTATATTCGAGACCATCAATCCCCATAACCATTTGGATTCAGTTGAATAGGGAGATTAATTACCTTATATACAGATCCAAAGCTGCCTTGGCCGAGTTCATTGACAGAGGAAAAATTGCTTGTGGCTGCGGCTACAGTTCCAAAATCAAAGACTGGAATATCTGTTTTTCGTCTACCCTCGCTGTCGAGGTCTTTCAGACTTGGAAGTTGGTCGAAATATGTTGAACTTGTAATAACACTAACAAGATGATTGCGCCGTCTTCTATCTGCTGTCACACAATTGAATAAAACGCTTAGGAAAGAGAAAGCAAGCAATTCGGAAACGCTTCTTTTGTTGCCGTTCTGGCCAATTTGGGAATATTTTTGTAGAGGAAGGAGCAATACGAATTTTCCCTTCAACAATAACCTTATCGCTCATTCCTTAAGATCAATTCAAATAGGCTCGATTTCGAGACAAATCACAGTACAGCATTATTTAATTATCAAGCACTGTTTGTGAAGCTTCGTTAATCAAGGTTTCCAATATTGAAATCAACCACCCTTTAGCCTAAAATCCTGGCTAGATGAGCTCCAGTTTAAATTTATTCGATTTCTTATCCCTAAACATCAAAATAATCACCTACTTGAAAAACAGACAGAGTACTACATATTGCAGAAAAAGCTTCTATCAAGGCAAGATTACCACACCTCTTTTCCTCTTCAGCAGAAGGCAGTACATAAGGGAGCGTAAAAGCAGCAACCCTACTGCAGATACCAATATCATTGCCACCATTGCCTTCTTGACAAGAGTACTCCTTTTCCTATACTGAGCTGTAAAAGAAGGCACAAGGACATGTAACACACAAATGTTACGGAAAGGAATGCAACAAGTGCAGTTTATTATATGAACTATCAGAAGCAAAGAGTTTCGTCGAGATGAGATCAGGAGAAATTGGGACAATCATTACAACCCCACAACAGCAGCAAAAGTATATAAAGTAGATTTTAGCATAGAGTACCTAAGTTAATTGAATCGACCCGCACATATAAATCTTGACCCAAGTCTGAAAATGCTCTTGTATCCACTAAATCTCCATACCATTTGAGACATCCATGTTCCCGCATGCTTTTATTTGCACTCGAATAAGCTGTGCAATTGCAATCCCTCAAGCATGCCTGCTCACACTCCTTCATGCTCAGGCTCATGTCGACATGTGCTGTTGAAGTGTCTGGCCACTTCAGCTGTTTCACCTTCACGAAACCTTCCCCACTTCTACACAATGAAGCACCTTGCCTCCTCTTGCACCTGCCTGATCCATCCCTTAGGTACCAATTGCCCGGAGACTTGGGCTCGAAGCCGGGCAAGCATGTGCAGTCTAACTGGTCAGCGTTGTTTGCACCACAGTTTTTATTTGGCCCACATTTGCTATAGTAGTCACACTGCTCCTTTGGATAGTATGCGAACTCGCTCCATTGCTGCTCTTCATCATGCCATGTGAAGTGTTTAACTGACCTTGACTCATGCACCACAATTCTAACAATAACCGAGGCATTGCCGACCCCACACATAATAGAAACCTCCATCGCGTTATTCACAGTTGTGATATTACTAAAGACAAAATCATAAGCCTTCTTGTGAACGCCACCATCCAGTCTCTCAATTGTTGGTCCACCCTGCCAATACGGAGCTCGATCCTTGTAAAGGAAGAAAAGTGGGTACCCTGTTGGTTCAAACCTGAATGAACAACTGCCCAGTGCTGGATCATCTTCGGATTTCCAAGATGTCACGAACCGATTCAAACCTGTTCTCTTATCCAACTGAAGCTTCATGTACGGAAGAAAAGTATCTGTGGGATAATGAAAGCTTTGCCAAATAACCACTTTGGTCAAATAATGATTCAAAACCAGATTACCTGAATCCAAAAGCTGAGCAGTAGTAGAATTTTCTGAAGTCATGGAGGAAACATTGGTTGACCAAATGGGAAAGCTTACAATGTTTTCACGGATCACTAAGCTTCCATAATGATAAAATGGAAGAACTCCCGAAGTATCATTCACAGGAATTTCTCTGTTAGCAGCCCAAACGAGGGTTTGCTCCAGTAGTCCATAGTACCAAATCCCCACGTAATGCAAGCTTGAATAACCGGGGCTGAAGAAACCAAGAGCAAATTTTCTTTGTCGGGAGATTAAGACATTGCCATCTTTCATGGTGTCGTTCGGGCCAAGGGTGTCCAAAGAATTAATCAAATGCAGCAGAAGGAATAAAAACAGGCTGTATAATGACACTGCTCGAGTGTTCATGTTGTACTTAGATGGGGATGCAGCGTGCTTATATTTTAGGCAAGAAAGCAAAGATATGGCTTTTGCTTTATAACCAGTACAACAGAAACTTCTCAATGTAGTTGAGGTTTCATTTGGTGAGTGGAACCACCCTTTATGACCATCCTTATCAACTGAAAATTCACTATCAAATACCATGAAGCGGCGGCTTTGACATCACCTGTCTTTGCTTGACACTTCTTCTTTCCTCTCTGGGTGCTCCTTTATTCATTATTTATTTCTTTCTTTTTGCCTACCGATGATTGAGACGCATCATTCCTGGAGCGACACAAATTCACACAGACAAGGTACTCCTAGAGTCTGTATTTCTTATACTTAGAAGAAGTCAATGGAAGATGTATTTTACTTGGCCAGTCAAGCATCCGTTTCCCTCTCCTTTTATAGAGCCCCGAAAAGTCCAAGTCAAGTGAATGTTATAGCTCATTGGAGATGCCACCATTGGAATGCCGTTGCAACTCCCCTCCAATTCGGCAATTTACACCATTGGACTGACTATGGAAGGTGATTGATGCGTCTTTGATGTTGTGTTAACTTTTCAACTTCGCCAATAAGGAAGGAAAGATGGGCACAGCATCACCAAGTAAATGAAGAAGCCGGATACCACCATAGACTAAACCTGCCATCTTTGAAATCATCTTTCAATCACTTGCGTTCTTTACATGTATATTTTTTCCACGTCTAGAAATGAAAAATCAATATACGTTTCTCCAAGGATAAATTTAACTGAAACAACGTTTAATCCGACGTGGTATAGCACTTGTGGCGAACGTTTTTAAAAAGTTATGATATTCAAGTAACCAATTGAAAAGTTATGTGCCACTTAAATGATTAGAAAAAAAAAGTTATAATACTCAAATAAGCGTCATACATAAATTATAGCACCATACAAAAGATGCGGCACTTGTTGTGTCCTTTTCCAAACCCAAAAGTCTAAGTCAAGTGAATGTTATAGCTCATTGGAGATGGCACCACTGGAATGCCCTTGCAACTCCCCTTCAATTCGGCAATTTACGCCAATGGACTGACTATGGAAGGTGATTGAAGCGTATTTGACGTCGTGTTTACTTTTCAACTTCACCAATATGGACGAAAGATGGGCACAACATCACCAAGTAAATGAAGAAGCTGTAAACCACGATAGATTAAACCTGCCGTCTTTGGGATCATCTTTCAATCACACGTGTTCTTTACATGTATACTTTTTCCACATCTAGAAATGAAAAATCAATATATGTTTCTCCATCCTTTTTGTTCTAAGTTCCCATCAGCTTATATTTTTTGTGGCTCTGTTTTATTTTATCAAGTGACCAACTAGTCACTTTTTTTTACAGTTTCTATTTTGCATCATTTTATCGAATAATTAATCCCGAAAATTCTTGTCATTAGTTTGTACTTGTCTCTAATGAACTGTTGATATACTACGTGAATTCATTTCAAATGGTAGGTAAGTGGAACGATCATGCATTTGATATAATTAACTATTCGCTTGTCCCACACCTACAAATGAGAAAATGAATATATGTTCCTCCTACTTTTAGTTTATATTTACATTTTTTGTTTCTACGTTCTTTTTTTCATATAAAATACATTTGTGCTTTATTTTGTGGGTTAATATCACAAAAAATCCCAAACTTGTACACTTATGATAAATTTACCCAAAACTAATTTTTTTACCACCAAAAACCCTAAACTGGTACACATGTCATAAATTTACCAAAAACTAATTTTTTGACCACAAAAAACCCCAAACTGGTTCACTGCATACCCTCCATTAAATTGGATTAATACCACGAAAAATCACAAACTGGTAAACATGTGACAAAGAGAGAGGTAAAACCATAAACTAATACACCCATCAACTGTCACGTGCCATTTAACTAAGCAATTTGACGGTAAAATTTAGCGGAAACTAACGGAGGGTAAATTTGTCACAGGTGTACCAGTTTGGAGTTTTTTGTGCTCAAAAAATTAATTTGGGGTAAATTTGTGACAAATGTACCAATTTGGGGTTTTTTGTGACATTAACCCTTATTTTGTTGACTAATCACTTTTTTAATGAGTTTATAAAGTCAACATCATGTTCTTAAGTGAAAAAGGGAATAAGTGTTAAGTAGATTTGTAAAGTCAGCATTATGCTTTATTTGTACTTTATTTTACCTTTATGACATGGAAATTCAGGACTTATCATGAAACTATGCTGGAATTAAATTGAAATAAAAAAAAATACCATTCTACGAAATAAGAGGCTTGAAGAAGGAGATTGTATTTTTGTCATCATCAATCCTTGATATGCAGTGAGCACACATCAACATAATAGATCCGCTAAAAAATAAGTACACTAATAATAATTTTTTTTGGGAAAAATTTCAAACAAGAGCCTGAAGTACCCTCATTTTTTTATAAGATGGCTTAAAATTTAACGGAAACTAACGGAGGGTAAATTTGTCACAGGTGTACCAGTTTGGAGTTTTTTGTGCTCAAAAAATTAATTTGGGGTAAATTTGTGACAAATGTACCAATTTGGGGTTTTTTGTGATATTAACCCTTATTTTGTTGACTAATCACTTTTTTAATGAGTTTATAAAGTCAACATCATGTTCTTAAGTGAAAAAGGGAATAAGTGTTAAGTAGATTTGTAAAGTCAGCATTATGCTTTATTTGTGCTTTATTTTACCTTTATGACTTGGAAATTCAGGACTTATCATGAAACTATGCTGGAATCAAATTGAAATAAAAAAAAAATACCATTCTACGAAATAAGAGGCTTGAAGAAGGAGATTGTGTTTTTGTCATCATCAATCCTTGATAGGCAGTGAGCACACATCAACATAATAGATCCGCTAAAAAATAAGTACACTAATAATAATTTTTTTTGGGAAAAATTTCAAACAAGAGCTGGAAGTACCCTCATTTTTTTATAAGATGGCTTAAAATTTAACGGAAACTAACGGAGGGTAAATTTGTCACAGGTGTACCAGTTTGGAGTTTTTTGTGCTCAAAAAATTAATTTGGTGTAAATTTGTGACAAATGTACCAATTTGGGGTTTTTTGTGATATTAACCCTTATTTTGTTGACTAATCACTTTTTTAATGAGTTTATAAAGTCAACATCATGTTCTTAAGTGAAAAAGGGAATAAGTGTTAAGTAGATTTGTAAAGTCAGCATTATGCTTTATTTGTGCTTTATTTTACCTTTATGACATGGAAATTCAGGACTTATCATGAAACTATGCTGGAATCAAATTGAAATAAAAAAAAATACCATTCTACGAAATAAGAGGCTTGAAGAAGGAGATTGTATTTTTGTCATCATCAATCCTTGATAGGCAGTGAGCACACATCAACATAATAGATCCGCTAAAAAATAAGTACACTAATAATAATTTTTTTTGGGAAAAATTTCACACAAGAGCCTGAAGTACCCTCATTTTTTTATAAGATGGCTTAAAATTTAACGGAAACTAACGGAGGGTAAATTTGTCACAGGTGTACCAGTTTGGAGTTTTTTGTGCTCAAAAAATTAATTTGGGGTAAATTTGTGACAAATGTACCAATTTGGGGTTTTTTGTGATATTAACCCTTATTTTGTTGACTAATCACTTTTTTAATGAGTTTATAAAGTCAACATCATGTTCTTAAGTGAAAAAGGGAATAAGTGTTAAGTAGATTTGTAAAGTCAGCATTATGCTTTATTTGTGCTTTATTTTACCTTTATGACTTGGAAATTCAGGACTTATCATGAAACTATCTTTGGAATCAAATTGAAATAAAAAAAACCATTCTACGAAATAAGAGGCTTGAAGAAGGAGATTGTATTTTGTCATCATCAATCCTTGATAGGCAGTGAGCACACATCAACATAATAGATCCCTAAAAAATAAGTACACTAATAATAATTTTTTTTTGGGAAAAATTTCACACAAGAGCCTGAAGTACCCTCATTTTTTTATAAGATGGCTTAAAATTTAACGGAAACTAACGGAGGGTAAATTTGTCACAGGTGTACCAGTTTGGAGTTTTTTGTGCTCAAAAAATTAATTTGGTCTAAATTTGTGACAAATGTACCAATTTGGGGTTTTTTGTGATATTAACCCTTATTTTGTTTACCGATCACTTTTTTAATGAGTTTATAAAGTCAACATCATGTTCTTAAGTGAAAAAGGGAATAAGTGTTAAGTAGATTTGTAAAGTCAGCATTATGCTTTATTTGTGCTTTATTTTACCTTTATGACATGGAAATTCAGGACTTATCATGAAACTATGCTGGAATCAAATTGAAATAAAAAAAAAATACCATTCTACGAAATAAGAGGCTTGAAGAAGGAGATTGTATTTTTGTCATCATCAATCCTTGATAGGCAGTGAGCACACATCAACATAATAGATCCGCTAAAAAATAAGTACACTAATAATAATTTTTTTTGGGAAAAATTTCAAACAAGAGCCTGAAGTACTCTCATTTTTTTATAAGATGGCTTAAAATTTAACGGAAACTAACGGAGGGTAAATTTGTCACAGGTGTACCAGTTTGGAGTTTTTTGTGCTCAAAAAATTAATTTGGTGTAAATTTGTGACAAATGTACCAATTTGGGGTTTTTTGTGATATTAACCCTTATTTTGTTGACTAATCACTTTTTTAATGAGTTTATAAAGTCAACATCATGTTCTTAAGTGAAAAAGGGAATAAGTGTTAAGTAGATTTGTAAAGTCAGCATTATGCTTTATTTGTGCTTTATTTTACCTTTATGACTTGGAAATTCAGGACTTATCATGAAACTATGCTGGAATCAAATTGAAATAAAAAAAAAATACCATTCTACGAAATAAGAGGCTTGAAGAAGGAGATTGTATTTTTGTCATCATCAATCCTTGATAGGCAGTGAGCACACATCAACATAATAGATCCACTAAAAAATAAGTACACTAATAATAATTTTTTTTGGGAAAAATTTCACACAAGA